TCTTTTTGCTTACCCCCAGCGCCCCCTCCCCCTGCCTGTCCAAGGTTAGGGCCCAGGACCCGCAGAACTCTCGTAGGGGCCCCCTTGACAAAGGCCACCCCCCACTGCAGAAACTGTGCCCCCCCACCCAGCTGTCACTGCCAGCCATGGCACGTATGACCGCTGGGGCCCCACATGGGGCCCTGTCACTACCCTATTCCCTACTTTCCTGGACCCTCTCCCATATACTAATACCCTCACTTCCTCACTCACCCCTCCCATTGACGGGCCTCACGGCCAGACCCTGACCCAGGCTTCTGCCGGTCTTGGGAGTGCTGCGGGGTCTGTCTCCATCCCATAGGGACCTTGGCCACTTGGTGACCACACCCCTCCCTCCTCCAGCCCCCGCCATCTTTCTCTTGCCCTTTCCTTCTTCACCTTACCAGAGCCCCCCTCCAGACACACTGTGCCCACTTGAGCTTTTCCCAGAGCCACCTCCAGCCTTGCTTTTCCCTTCTGTGTTACTTGGCATGGGGGACAGGATCATTCTGGGTCCCTCTGCCCCGCTCTCATCCTGTCACTCTGCTGCTCTGCTTGTGCTCTCTCCTCCCAAGTGTCTGTCCCTAGCTGGGGTAGCAGACTGTTTATGAACCTAGAGAACTGCTTCAGTGTGTTCAAAGCCAAGTTTGAGCTGGTCTTGCTGGGTTTGTTTCTTCCTCCTTCCCTGGTTGGGGTTGGGGGATGGCAGCAGAGCCTTTATCCATCTCCTGCTGTGCAGTGAGCTCTAGGCTCCTTAGAGGTCCCCTCAGTAATAAATGGTCATTTCACAACTGAGGTTCCGTCATTCACCCAGTCCCCTGGGCTTCTTCGCCCGCTCCTGGCTCAGGATGAAAAGTGGGGGATGAAGAGTGTCTGAGTTTAACAAGGCTCATTCAGCTTGAGCTGGAATGGTGAGAAAGGGGACTCAGGGGATGGCGGTCAGAGAGAGTAATGGGTGACATCTAATGACTTGCTTTGCCAAGGGACAGATTCTGATCATTGCCAGGGCTCAGCCAGAAAGAGGCTTGTTCCCCCCTCACCTTACAAAATGTGTTGGCCTTTTATAGCCAATCAGAGAAAGAAATGTCTGTATCTGCTTTCAGAAATGGTTCTTAATCCCCTTCCTCAATTCCTCCAGTTCTTAGAGTGTCATCACTCCAGGCCTAAAGCTAGGATCCACTTCCCATTACCCAGAAATAGTCAGAGCTGAAAAGGGAGGCCACGTCCAAATATGCCTTTCCTAGTTATTGGTCTCAAACCCTAGTGTCTGGCTCCCCTGAGTTCCCCTCCCAGAAAGACCCTGATATGAAAACCAAGGAACTTTATTTTCACATGGCAGAACTCAGAGTTGCTGAGCAGCCATGGGGAGGGCTGACATGTCACCGATGGGCGGGGGATATGGAGGCAAGTGCCTGTAGCTGAGTACTTGATGACAGAGGAGCAGGTGGGTAGTGACCAAAAAAAGTCTGGGCATGAGCTTAGAGGGGACTAGGCACACAGGGAGGGGCTGGGCCCCCAGCAGGTGAGGCCTGGGAGGTAGAAGGTGGAGGCAGGCAGCTGTATATTGCAGTGGCTCAGTTGAAAGTTGGGGAGATGACCCAGTCCTGGTAGCTGTACAGGGAAGAAGATCAGTGGCTCCGGAAGGAACCGCTAATTCTCTTAGAACGCAGGGCGGACATCCAGGAATGGACCATCACGGTGGAATAGGGCCACTATTTATTGGGTATCTAGGATATGCCCAGCTAAATGGTTTCCATAGATCTGTCCACTCGAGTGATTTTCATAACGGGCTATTTTCCGAATTTTCTAAATGACCCTGACTTTGACATAGATGATGTCACAGAAGCAGGATTAACATTCAGATCTGTCTACCAGCCAACTTCCAGGACCCCAGAATTTCCTAACCTGGACATTCGCAAGTTACCTCCCTGATTTTTACTCTATTCATTTATATTTTCTTAATGTAAAATAGTAAAAATTTTGACTTTTAAGTTCAGACATAAACTTTGATCCATCCTAAGCAGTAATATAAATGATCATGGGATTACTGTGCCAGTTATATTCTTTCCTGCTACACATTGAAATGCAATGTGACTAGAATAGTGAAACATCCCTAAAATCATTTCATGCCTTGCCAGTGGGACCCATGTCATACACTGGGAAATGCTCTCAGCTGTACTTCCTTCCAGAGACTTGCAGGGATTCTCAGAGAAAGAAATAGGATAAGGAAGGAAGCCCCACTTTGCTTGCAACTCTGATTCTGAAAGGATGGAGCTAGTCAAAATTTGCCCTTATAACTAGGATGGGGTAGGGTGGGAGTTAGGGGCAGTAGCCAGGCCAGCCTGCAGGGGGCACCTGAATTTCATCTGCCAGACACCAGCCATACTGGGGTAAGGAGAATGCCCAAGCCTTAGTAGGCACTAATTAGGCATCCTGCAGCCCCTGTGCTACCGTCTGGTGCCAGGGCATGATAATGTCAGCCTGCTCCCAAGAGAGCGGGGGATCTACCTGGAGTTGGGTGAGGTGGGGTAGGGGCAATCTGTACCCAAAGATGCCAAAGCCATTGTTAGGGGCCTGGACAAGATGGTAAAAGGGCAGAGAAAAAACCTAGCACCCGGCTCTGAGCAAGCAGGAGAAATTGAGAGAGGGCAATGGCCCCAAGAGGCTCCCAGGATAGGCAGCCAAGTGGGGCTCAGGCCTTGGCTGGCACTGGCCAGAAGCACCCCTGGGAGCCGGCCCATGGGGGAAGGGCTAGGGCTGGTGAGAGAGAGCCCATACACACACATTCTAGGCCCTGGGGACAAGCAGATCCAGGCTCTGGGCATGAAAAGTGCCCCCAAGAAGTCCCTGAATGGGAAGAATTGCTGCCTTCTAACATCCTACGTTAGTACAAGAGTGTCAAACACCTGTGTATTGGCAGTTGTATGGGTGCCTAAGAAGGTCTTTCCAAGGTAGCTTTTTGCCTTAACCCAATCAGGCCTACAGAAACTTGAGGGTCCTGTCTGCCCCTCCCCTGCCCCTACTGGCCCAGGTTTGGCTCCTCCTCCTTTCCCCCCTCCCCCAACACACACACACACAACTCCCTGGCTCCCCCTATAGGCAGGTATCTGGGGATGGACAGCCAAGCTGGTGCAGCAGGTCTCTTGAGCCTTCTCAGCCACCATAGTTCTGGTGCCTTGAGAGGAAGACTGAGTGATGGCTTCCAACTTCAACGATGGTGAGACTAAACCCTGTTGCTATAGCAACTCTCGAGCACTCTGCCCCTGGAGTCAGAGAGGGGCTGCAGTAGTGTTTGGGGAGCAGGCAGAGAGGAGAAGGCTGTGGACGTCTGGTTGGCCCTGGGAACCCCTCCCTTACAATCCTGGGCTGGGGGCCTGGAGAAGAGCAGGGGGGATTGGTAGCCCTGTTAGACAAGGGGTATGGTCCACCCAGAGCAGGGGTCCAGCTCAGAGCAGGGCAGTGGGATAGACTCGCCCAGTATTGGGCTTCAGCTCAGAATGGCGGTTGGTCCAGCTCAGTGATGGAGTCCAGGTCAGAATGGGGGGATGTTAAGATGGAGTCCAGGCCAGATGGCCCAGTACAGAATGGGGAGCCATCAGACTCTGCAGTGGTCCTGTGCAGTGTTGGGGTCCAGCTCAGACTAGGGGATCACCCAATCCAGAATAGAGGTCCATTTCAGAATGGGGGTGGGGTAGTCAGTGTTGGGGTCCAGCTCAGACTGGGGGATGTTCCAGCTCAGAGCAGGGGATCCAAGCTAGACTGGAGGAATCAGCCAGCCCAGGGTCGGGGGTCCCAGCCCCGACTTGGCATCCCTGCCCCAGAATTCCTGGGACAACCAGGTTTTGGTGGACAGAGAGTACTGAGATTTGTCTGGGAAGTCCGAGACTGGGCTCTGCTTCCTGCGGTAGTCCTGGATTATGGAAGGGTGTCTGGGGCCCTCTTTATGAGCCCAGATCGAATCCAGACCAGGATGGAGGCTGGAACACGCACCCTACCCCTCCACCCCCCTACTCTCGTGGAAGACATGGGCAGGGCGGCAGGTTTCACAAGTCAGCAGCTGGCTGGGTTTCCCTTCCCTGCCACTTCCAGTTGTCTGAAGGGCCACGGGTGCTAGGCACACTGGGAGAAGCTGTGCTCACCATCCACTTCTTTTGAGATCTGGAAAGGAGGAAGATGGTCAAGGCAGCCTCCCCCTCCCCCACCGCTGGGTTTAGCCTTTGTTTCCGGTTTGGACTTTCATGGCCCAGAGCAGAGCCAAGCACAGGGCAAGGTTTGACAGAGGCCAAGGACATCCCAGGATGCCGTTCCACTCTCCACCCCTGCATAGGAGCAAGAGAAAATCTGATGTACCCATTTCTCTTGGGGCTACAGGATTTGGAGAGGTGATAGGGTGGCTCTTACACCACCCCCACCCACACACACACACACACACCCAACCCAACCCAACTCTCTGCTAATTAATGGAGCCCTGGGGCCTCTCTAGCCCCCAAGGAGTCCCTGGCTGCTGCCTGGGCCTAAGCCCTTAACTCCTTCTCCTCTGCCCAGTGAGCACTGCCCTGGGCACATCAGGTACCATCCTCTGGGTAGTACACCCACCTGGGAAGGGAGGGTCTGGCATCCTGGGAGCAGTGAAGTCCCTGGAATAAGTTAGCGTTAGCACCCCACCCCCGGAGCAGGAAGGCCAGCCAGGAGGGACATCCTAGGGAGAATCTTCCCACTGCCTCCTAGAGGGCCTCTGCAAACCTTAGCCAGGAGCAGGCACCTTTAAATGCTCCCTAGCAACCAGCTCCTCCTTCAGGGTTCCCCAAGGCCCTCCCGAGGAAACCAGCTCAGAAGCTCTGCATATTCCTGGTTTCCCTGGCTCCCAGGGTAGCCTAGGATGAATCTGGGTTCAGGCAATGGCCAGGGTGGGGACTCAGAGACCACCTTCCAGCTATGGCTGCAGCTGTTCCTCTGGGCCCACCTGACTATTCGTTTCCTGAGCTACCTGCACCACGCCCTCTGGGCACCTAAGCCACAGCCAGCACCCTGAGTCTCCATGGTCAGGGGCAGATGGGCCCCAGATCACCCCATCCCACTCCACCCCCATTGTACCCTCTGCTAGAGGAGGCAGGAAGCAGAGGTGAGTATAGGGGCTCCTGGCTGGGGTTACCCCATCATTATTCCTCTGTCTCTGCCTGTTCCTCCTGGCTCTGCCCCTCCCTTGTGCCCCATCCCCAAATCTGCGAGCCAGTGGCACCAGAGGGGACAGAGAAGGGCTACGCTAGGACCAAGGCACCGGCAATTTCAGGGATGGCCGAGAGCGAAAGGAGAAGTGGGACCAGGCATTCTGGATTCCTCACAAGCCCATTTCTCCCTACCTTCCTGGGCGGGTGAAGGTAGAATTACAAAAGGGTACCATCTCCCCCACCTTTGTTCAGAAATTAGTGTATACATTGGAGGTGTCCAAGGAAGATAGTGTGTGTCAGGAAAGATTCTGCTAGTGTAAGCACCGGGTGTGGTGCTGTCCCCAGATTCAGAGAGGTCTCTCGGTCAGTTGGTGGCCCAGCCAGGCGCCAGCCTAGGACTCCCGACCACTCCTTGACTTCCCTCACTCTGCCCGGTCACTCTTTGTAAGGCTTTCCTGGCCAGTGATCTCTTCTCCATCTGCTGCTCTTGTAGCCCCGTGGGACGTTCTTTTATCCGAATGCTGAGGAAGAGCCTTGGGGATCATGGGGGTGGTGGCTACCCAGAGGCTGTGTGGACTCCTGGTGCACATGGGGGGGACACAAATGACAGGCAAGGCCAGAGTCCAAGTGTGCAGGACCCCTCAGGCTGGCACCTGTCCAGGAACATCAGAGGGTCGAGGACAGGTCTGTCGGGTGGGCCACCCTAGTTCACTACGACCTTTCGGGAGGGAAGCAGTTAATTTCGTGAGCAGTGGGGTCTGGCAGGCAACCTAAGGCCTGGTCAGTCTTTTCTTCTGTAGAATGAGGTAATAGCAACTCTGAGCCATCGGGGTAGGACTTAAGCATAGAAAGCATTTAGCTCAGGGCTGGCACATGGCATGCTTGACCCCAGGTGTTGTCTCTAGGACAGGTCCGTAATATACACATCTGTCAGGCCACACATTTAAGATTTGAGCGCTCAATGCATCCCCTGTATTTTATACCTCAATTATAAAAAATACTTGAAAGCAAAATTAATAATCAACAGTTATATGGAATGACTCTCATACAGGTCACTGCCCAACTCCATTTCCCTAGATCAGTGGTCGGCAAACTTATTAGTCAACAGAGCCAAATATCAACGGTACTTTTTCAAAATAGACTTGCCCAGGCCAAAAACCGACTTCTGCGCATGGGCCACGAAGTTTCAGTCACACTGTACGTGCGTGCCCGCACGTGGTATTTTGTGGAAGAGCCATGCTCAAGGGGCCAAAGAGCCGCATGTGGCTCGCAAGCCGCAGTTTGCCAACCACTGCCCTAGATTAACTCATTCAGTCCTCAAAACTACTTTGCCAGGTCATTACTATTATTCTCCCCATTTTACAGATGAGGAAAACTGAGGCCCAGAGAGGTGAGGTCAGTTGCCTAAGGTCACACAGTTTAGCAGAACCAGGCTGGGGTCTGAACTTAATCTCAGTTCCAGAGTCCTGGCCCTTAACAATTTGCAGGGTGCTGGCAAGTATGACTCTGTCGAAGCCTCAGTTTCCTAGTGTTAAATGGGGAGAAGAATAAAAGGAAACTTGGTGAGTTAACCAAATTTGATAGTGGAGACAAAACAGCAGGCCCAGGGTCAGCCCGCTGGGAAGTCTTCAGTATTAGCTGAATGGTGATATTCTTGGGGTACTAAGGGGCCTCTGGGGAGCAGGCATAGAGCGAGGCCTCCCTTGAACCAGCTCTGGAGCCAGGGCCCCTGAATTGGCAAAGGCAGGAACAGGGCAACAGCTGAGCCCCCCCAAGGGCGCTTGCTACCCGAGCCCCAGAGGCTTCCACCCCCCGACCGGCCTCCCCAGAGAAGGGGCCTGAGGAACAGCCAAATCCTGAGGCTATAAATACCTCGGTTGGCGTCCTCCCTGGCCCTCCCTGGCCGTGGAATGCCGGTCAGAACTGGGACAAGTGGGGGTGGGCTGGCCTGGGTACTGCCCTCTGTCCCCCTGAGAGTGACCCCCGAGTTGCTCTGTACCCCATTTTGGAAGAGCTGAGGCTGGATCCCACCTCCCTGTAGTAAAGGGGACCCAGGCCCTAGCCCAGATCAGGCCCCTCCCAAGCTGCCCTCAGACCCAGCCAGGGCACCCAAAGGCCCTAGTGGGAAAAAAGATCAGACTATGGTTGAAACGGCTGCACCCCACTTTCCACAAATGAGCATCTCCCCAGGAACACCCTGGGCCTGCCCCAGTGAGATGGGGATGTCTAGCTAACTCTCCCTTCTCTTCCTTCCAGTGAAAGAGTTCTTAGCCAAAGCCAAAGAAGATTTTCTTAAAAAATGGGAAAATCCTGATCAGGTAAGCCCGCCCCCCGCCACCCGCCCTATGTGCGGAACCCTTGAAGGGGTGAGCTAATGGCCTTCGTCTTCCAGCGTAACCCTGCGTCATGGCTGGGATTTAGAGTCCTGTGGAGGATGCCTGGACACCCTTGGAGGCTCCTAGACAGAGGCACCTGATTGCCCACTGCCAGGCTCCCCCATCCTACCACCCCCTACAGCTGGTGGCCCCTGCCCCCCACACAGCTGCCAGCAGCTCCTGGGCCCTAGGCCAGGGCCAGATCTGGCCTCTGCCATTCGCCTCAAGGAATGTGCCCTCCGCCATCTTGCTTTTCTGCCCCCTGTTCTCACCCCATCACTCTCCCTGCTCCCCAGAGCCCCCTCTGCTGGTGGCAGATAGGATGCCCCAGACGTTGGCCCAGCAGGCCACAGGGAAGAGGGTCCCTGACTCTCTCAACCTCTCCATCCACAGAATACAGCCAGTTTGGATAACTTTGATCGAATCAAGACCCTCGGCACAGGCTCCTTCGGGCGGGTGATGCTGGTGAAACACAAGGAGACTGGGAACCACTTCGCCATGAAGATCCTGGACAAACAAAAGGTGAGCTCAGCTCTGCCCTGCGGCCAGATCCCACCTGCTGCCTGGAATGCTCTTCCCATCCATCCACTCACCAATTGCTTCTCGAGCCCCCATCATGGCCAGACCTGAGGGCCAGAAGGGCACCACAAACTTCCCCTCCAGGCTGAATACCAAGGGAAATCAGGCGCTGGAAACAGTGTCAGACACCTAACCTGTGTTCCAGGTGGCCGGAGGGCTTCCTGGAGGAGGTGGCATTTACACAGGCCTGTTTTCTGTGAATATTTTTGACACCCTACTTATTCCAGTCACTACTCTAAAGCACTGCTGCGCAGTACAAGTGTCATATAAGCCACGTATGATTTTAAGTTTTCTAGAAGCCCCATTAAATAAAAGAAACAGGTGGAATGCATTTTAACAATACATTGTAATTAAATCAGTATATTTACATTATAATTTCAATGAATGTAACCAATGTAAAATATCATTAATGAGGCATCTTACTTTTTTTTTTCATACCAAGTCTTTGAAATCCAGTGTGCATTTTACACTTTACAACTTATCTCTGTTCTGATGTTAAATTTTTAAAGGAAAGAGAAGAGAAAGTAGAGAAGTTGAAAAGGCAGATTGGCATAGCCCAAGTTGTTCCAGACAGACTTAAAAGATGTCTAGTAACTGTGTCAAGTGTCAGTTTTTAAATTTTCACTTTAGATATTTATCATTTTATTTTATTTATTTATTTATTTATTTATATTTTTATATTTTATTGATTTTTTTACAGACAGGAAGGGAGAGGGAAAGGAGAGTTAGAAACATCGATGAGAGAGAAACATCCATTAGCTGCCTCCTGCACACCCGCTACTGGGTATGTGCCCGCAACCAAGGTACATGCCCTTGACCGGAATCGAACCTGGGACCCTTCAGTCCGCAGGCCGACGCTCTATCCACTGGCCCAAACTGGTCAGGGCTAGATATTTATCATTTTAAACTCAGTTCCCCCGTCTCCCGGCCGCATTAAAGCTCTCAGCAGCCATATATGGCTAGTGTGGATGGCATTGGGCAGTGCAGGTATAGACAAAGGATACAGCTGTGAGCAAAGCAAAAAAGGCCCCAGACAGGGGTTCAGAGCTGGCTGAACAGCCAGGCTGCCTGTGTGTGACACACCAACTGGCCTGTGACTTTAGGCCAGTGGTTGGCAAATTCATTAGTCAACAGAGCCAAATATCAACAGTACAACGATTGAAATTTCTTTTGAGCCAAATTTTTTAAACTTACACTATATAGGTAGGTACCTTGTTATTAACACATTTTGTACCTCTCAGGAGTTTTCTCGTGTTCCGCGCGTCATCTGTTAAGGACCGCTCACGAGTGGTCTCGTTTTTCACGCCCATGGAAAAAGGAGTGAATCTAGATACTTATGTAAATTTTGTTTGGTCCCTCTTCATAGAGGAAAATGTTTTACGCAGTACCATACGTTAAAAAAGCACTAGGAACTTTAATTGTTGAATTGTTTTTATAAATAAAAATGTTATAATTATTGAAAAACAACACCTAAAGTGCATTATGATGATTTAAATCATAACGTGCAGTTTGCCCAAAAACGTGCGATCCCTGGCGTATGTCTTAGAGATTTCTATGTGGTACGCAATGTGTTAACTTAATTAGGGTACTCCTAAGGCGTAGGAAGAGCCACACTCAAGGGGCCAAAGAACCGCATGTGGCTCCGAGCCGCAGTTTGCCAACCACAGCCTTAGGCAAGTCATTGCCCCTCTCTGGGCTTCCAAGCTTGTGTGTTCACAGTACATACCCCTCAGGGCTTCAGTCACTGTGCATGAAGGGCCTGCTGGAGATAGCTGAGGGCTGAGGAGAAATTAGCTTGGGGTTTGGGTATGTAATGTGTGTGTGTGAGTGCTCTAGATGCAGAGTTTTTTGTAAACCCCCTACTCCTTTGGCACTACTCTTGCTTGTCTTTCCGATGCTGCCCCTTCCTCCAAGAAGCCTTCTCTGACTGCCCCTGCCCCAGACTTTACCTCGCGCCTCATCTGGGCATCCGCAAGCCCCAAACTTCCCCCATCACAGCTCAGATCCCTCTGCACTGAGAAGCCTGGTGACTCGTGGTCTTGCCACGTGGGGACAGGGCAGCCTCAGCCTTCTTATTGTGTCCTCAGCACCCCACCTGGGCTCCACAGACGCTCACAGAAACCAGCCTGGGGGCCGAGGGCCCTCTCATACCTCCTCCTCTCCACCCCCTCCTGCTCCTAGGTGGTGAAGCTGAAACAGATCGAGCACACCCTGAACGAGAAGCGCATCCTGCAGGCTGTCAACTTTCCGTTCCTTGTCAGACTTGAGTTTTCCTTCAAGGTGGGTCCCAGCCATCGGGGAATAGAGGGGGCAGAGAGGGAAACCGTGCCAGGGGGCTGAGGACAATCAGTGGCTCCCCCCGCCCCCCCGGAAGGTGAGCCCCCCCCCACGGATGAGGAAAGGAGGATCAGCCTGGGATTCTGATACACCCACGTTCAGCTCCTAGGTCTGTCTACCTGATAACCTTGGGTGGTCATGTCACTCAACCTGGATGACACCCCTGAAAATCACCACTGTGTTTACAAAAACCTGACATGTGGCCTGCGTTCAAATCCTAGCTCAGCGCCCCCTGCCCGTGTGACCCTGGCGAAGGACTTCACTTGGGTCTCAGTTTCCTCATCTGTAAACTGGGAATCAAAAGGTTTCCATGACACATCATGAACACCCTCTGTGAGCTCTCCTGGGTGCCATCCTAAGCTGGACTTTGAGAGTTGGGAAAGTCCACTGGGGGCCTGCCACCCAGGCAGTCACAAGGGCCTGTGCGTGGTGTCATGCTCTACTGCTGCCGCCTTAAAATTCATAGTCATTGTTTTAGTAAGGAGACACTTTTTGGCAGGGGGTGGGGCACAAATTCTCTAGCCTCTCCTGGTTCCATTTTGTGATTAAAAAAAAAAACAAAACGGTGGCCCAAGAGCCTTGCTCAGGACAGTCACAGACTGTGAAGTCCCCTCGCCAGCCCAGGCACCTGTAGCCAGCCCTCCCTTTCACCACCCACCCCCACAAGCAGGATAATAGTTGTCCCTTTGTCCTCAGGCGCCGAGGGAAGTGAGATAGGGAGCTCAGTGAGTACAGTATCTGGTCCTTGGCATGTGCCTCCTATTGGAGCCTAGATTGGTGGTGTCACCGGTTTCCAAACTCCTGCTGGTCAAGGGCATTGGACTTTCGGGTGGGGCCCAGGGCTTGGGGAGCAGGGCCCTGACCAGCTGCTGCTCTCCGCAGGATAACTCAAATTTATACATGGTCATGGAGTATGTCCCCGGCGGGGAAATGTTCTCGCATCTGCGGCGGATCGGAAGGTTCAGGTGAGCGGACTGCCCCAGCCCACCAGGCCCGGGGGTGTCCACAGGCGATGTCACATACCAAGCCATCTGGGGACTTGGAGGTAGCCTCTCCAGGTCCCTGTGGGTTCCCCTTCCCGCTGAGCTGAGGAACCTGCAATGTCTCAACCACCCAACCACCATGAAACAAAACAAACATAGTAACAGGTATCACCATTTAAGTTTTTATGCAGGTTGTTGTTGTTTTTATGTGTCTTTATTGACTTTAGAGAGATAGGAACATCAATGAGACAGAAACGTCTATAGGCTGCCTCTCGCATGCCCCCACCTGGGATGGAGCCTGCAACCCAGGCATGTGCCCTGACCAGGAATCAAACCGGGGACCCCGTGGTTCATGGGTTGATGCTCAGTCACTGAGCAGTGGGGTGATTTTATGCAGTTTTTAAATGTATGCTATTGTTTTATTTTGTTTATTCAGATAGCTGTTCACTTTACATACAATAAAATGCACAGGTCAATGTTCTGTTCCATGAGTTTTGACAGTTGCATACATTTGTTTAACCACAACCCAAAACACCATATTGAGTATTTCATCACCCCAGAAGAATCCCTCTAATGCAGCGGTTCTCAACCTGTGGGTCGCGACCCCTGTGGCGGTCAAAGGACCTTTTCATAGGGGTCGCCTAAATACATCCTGCATATCAGATATTTACATGACGATTCATAACAGTAGCAACATTACAATTATGAAGTAGCAACGAAAATAATTTTATGGTTGAGTCACAACATGAGGAGCTGTACTTAAAGGGCCAGAAGGTTGAGAACCACTGCTCTAATGCCTTTCTTGGCAGATCACCACCCTGAAAAAGGCAGTTGTCCCTTCTGGCATTAAACACCATAGAATTTGTTTGGTCTGGATTTGGACTTGATATAAATGGCATCACACAGTTCATATTCTTTTGTCCTTTTCTTCTCTTCACATCATTGTTTTGAGATCTAGCCACGGTTTTGAGCATACCCGTGTGTCCTGATGGTGGTGTTGGGTAGCATTTTATTGAATCTGTCACAGT